ATCAAATATATCTTTTACAAGCAGCATGACGGCTCATGGGTTAGCACCGACGCCTCACAGCAAGAAGGTGGTTCGATCCCCGGTTTGGACCTGGAGTCTTTCTTTGTGGAGTTTGCATGTTCTCCTCTTGCTTGTGTGGGTTTTCTCCAGGTACTCTGGTTTCCCCCACAGCACAAAAATATATACAATATGTTGCCTTCAGGCCCAGGCCGCCCTTGCAAAAGAGATCTGCGATCTCAATGGGATTTGCCTTATTACGTAACGGTTAAAATAATAATAAAATAAAATAAAAAAATACATGAGCACCGGAAAACGGTAGCGTGCTGCCTCCGGGTCGGGGAGGAGGTTCTGCCCCAAGTGGAAGAGTTTAAGTATCTCGGGGTCTTGTTCACGAATAAGGGAAGAATGGAGCGGGAGGCGGATTGGTGCTGTGTCTGCAGTGATGCGGGCGCTGTACTGGTCTGTCATGGTGAAGTGAGAGCTGAGCCAGAAGTGGAAGCTCTCGATTTACCAGTCGGTCTATGTTCCTACCCTCATCTATGGTCACAAGCTTTGGGTAGTGACCGAAAGAACGAGATCGCGGATACAAGTGGCCGAAATGAGTTTCCTCTGCAGGGTGGCTGGGCTCTCCCTTAGAGATAGGGTGAGAAGCTCGGTCATCCGGGAGGGACTCAGAGGAGAGTCGCTGCTCCTCCACGTCGAGAGGAGCCAGTTGAGGTGGCTCGGGCATCTGGTAAGGATGCCTCCTGGACACCTCCCTGGTGAGGTGTTCCAGGCATGTCCCACTAGGAGGCCCAGAAGAAGACCAAGGACACGCTGGAGGGACTATGTTTCTCAGCTGGCCTGAGAACACCTAGGGATTCCCCCAGACGAGCTGGCCCAAGTAGCTGAGGAGAGGGAAGTCTGGGTCTCTCTGCTTAGGCTGCTGCCCCMGYGACCTGATCCCGGATAAGTGGCAGGAGACGGACGGACGGACGGACAGACGGACATGAGCGCCCTGACAATCACACAGTTAAATCAGTTAAATTATAAAACATAAAATAACATCAAATAAAACTCACTCTCCTAAAATCAATTAGAACAGTGGCATTTAAACTTTGTTTCTGCTAAATCATTTATAAAATCCTGGAAAGAATAAAATGAGACCTGCTCTTTCAAATGAACAACAACAAGTAGTTTGTGGTAATTACTGTATGCGGAAACCAGAAATACAGTAAATACTAGTACCAGTGTTCATAAGAGCACTCGTGCTGTGACCTCCAAACTGGATGAGTGGTGCCAACTGATCCTATGAACAACCTCGGAGATCTCTGTCCGAAGGAGTGAACAGTGTTGGGCATGTGCATATATTTTAGGATAGCAGTACATAAGGTCTGATTACATCCATCCATTTCCTTTTACCCTCTTTTCCTTTTCAGGTCATGGAGCAGCTTGTATCTCTCTCCAGAGATCAGTGTGTAAGAGGCGGGGTACACCCTGGACAGGTGGCTCGGGTCTGACTACATATGGGAGATATTAGAATCTATGTCACACTGTAAAGTAAAGTTATCAGTCCTGAAAAATGAACCTGCCAAGTCGGAATGTTAAATAATAGTGGATATTAAAAAAAATCATAAGCAGGAAGGGTGAAGAATGGAGGATGAATGAGCACATCCTCAACAAAAGGTGGGAAAAAAATCAAGGAGAGTTAAATTAGAGAAAGGAAGCAAATGGGAAATAGAATAAAAGTGGGAAAAAATGTAGGGGAAAGAGAAAAAAATAACAGAGAGCAGACAGATAATGGGGAAAGAGAGGGTATAGATGGACATAATCTGGAGAGGATTGCTAAAATGTGAAAAAAATGAATAGCAAAACAGGAGAATAGAAAGTGACTGAAGAGGTAGTTTGCAGAGGTAAATAGAAAAGATGAGATTGGATGAAATGAACAAAGGAATGTTAAGACATAAATTAAATAGCAAGAGAAGATAAAGTATACAAAGTGAAATAATATAAGAAATCTGGGCAAGAAAACTAAAGAAAAATGTACAAAAGCAAAACAAATCAAACAAGTAAAGAAGGGAAAAAGAAAGATAGAAAAAAATCCATCCGAAAGAACAAAGAAAAACCCCAAGATGAATTAAACAAAAAGGGGTAATAATGAAAGTGAACGGAAAACAGTAGAATGTGCAGAGTTGTAAAAAACAAAAATGGTAATAGATACAAAAAGTAAGGAAAGAAAAAAGACGGGGCAAGAGAAGAAATAGAGAAGGAATAAAGGAAGGAAAGAGAAGCGAGTATTAGAGCAGGCAAAATTAGCTGTCCTTTCTACAGCTCCTATGGGAACCTCGAGCTCTGCAGTGTCTAATTTAAATAAAAGCCTTTCGTGTGAAACTTAAATGTGTGTTTTTGTGAGAGGGGCACATGGTAATACTTTGTATTCCCAGTGGGGACTTTAACCCAACCCCACATAGACTCGTGGTGCTTTGGGTCCCAGACAGAAGCTCAGGTCTAGAGATACGATGATACCAACTGTGCATGAGTCTGAGCATCAGTCCACACTGAATCTAAAGAAAAAACTGTGTTACAATTATTCTCCATGTACATCTGTAAGACTTATCTTTCAATGTTCATAAAGAAAATTTAATTTGAACAAGTCATAAAGAAGAATTCTTGTTACTGCTGCTCATCAAATTTCCAGGGGTGTTGCAGAGGGAAGGCATGTGAGAATGAACATTTCTATCCCAATTCTCTTCCAGAAAAAGAGGGGAAACAAATCAACTTCTAGATCATTTATCAGTGTAAATGCTTTGTACATTTTCTGCTGACAAGTGCCTTGTTTTCCTCCCACTTAATAATATTTTATACGCATTTAAATATCATTGTGGTATTAGAATGTACACAGACAGCCCTCGAGGAGCCTCATGAATCATTCTTGACRTGCTGTACACAAAACCCTGAATTTTCCACTGTGCACAGAAAACACACGAAAAAACAAGATCTTTTATCTGATTTCTACCACCGGTTGAAATAACCTCTCTTACACAAGTTTACAGCATCAAACAGAGTGTCTCTTCACTATAGCAGAAGGGAAGTTGCAGATCAGCTGTCAGTGTTTGAACAGAAATGAAATATTTGAGAACTATCGGTCAGGGTTTAGAGCTAATGGCAGAAACAGCTCTGGTRAAAGTTACTAATGATTAGATGGTAAACTTATGTTCATACTTGTCCCGTTAGATCTCAATGCTGCATATGAACAGTGTATTGGAATGGCTCTAAGATGACAGTTTTTCTYTGGACATGGAATAATATTTAAGAGTGAGCAATTGGAGGGGTATGGGGAGTTGTGTGTATTTTCCAGGCACATAACTCAATTCTATGTCACAATGAAGTAACTACATTACCTTCCTTCAGGTATTATAAAAATCATATCTAAATCCCTTGAAATTGGCCCCTGTCTCTTTAGGGACCTCCTACCGTTCCTGACATTCCCACTTCAGTACATACAGAGAACCATAGCCTCATTCACAAGAGAGTTCTGCGAAATGGGCGCACAGACCAGTCCTCCTTTGAGCTCCCTTGGGTCATTCTTAAAGTTCAGGAGAAACTTGCCAGTTCCCGCTCACATGTGCGCTTTCAGAAATGAACCGAGCAGAGTGGGAACGGGAAAGGAGGTGCAGAGCAGAACTCAGCTGGGCTGAAGTGGAGCGCGACGTATTTAATGCGTGATAGATGTCTGCCTCGTATCAATCACAAAACAGACTGAATTAATTTACCTCAGTGTTCCTCTTTGTGCTTCAGTATTCTGTTTAACTAACTACAAAGTTGCTGCGTCGTGTCATCTTCAATAGTCCCTCGGTAAGAAATCTGTTGATGTTTAATCCTACAAGCAGGGCGGTCACACTGCAGGTTTTTTTTTCCACAAGTCGCCTTGCACGGCTCTGTTACTACTTCTGAGGGACGTCAGAGGCAGGCTCTGTTCGAACACCCTTGCCGCCTCCGTGTGTCTTCTGAATGATCCAAGGGGGCCAGAATGTGTCAACCACTAAGAGCTAATGTTTCATGTCATTTACAACCTTTTGTAGGAGCCTTTTCAGAAGGTAGTCTCCTTGGCATCTATACATTTCCTCGTTTAGGGCATTTTTTAATCCGAGCAGTAGTTAGTATTACAAGCTCAACAGACAGGTTCCACCAGGTGTTTGCTAATTGTTGCTGCTGCTAGTGGTCAAGCTGTGTGAAGGAGGGGTGCTCTGGGTGGGGTGGGAGATCGACTAGAGACTGAGCTCCAGGGAGGTGCTTTGGGTAAACAGGTGGCATTATGAATGAGCAAGTGTTTAGGCAGCTTCGCATGACTACCACAGTGGATTCAAGCATTTCTCAAACATGTATGAATGAATCAAAGCAACACTCTGGGTATGATTTTGATGAGGGAATGTCATTATAACACGATATAAAGCTAAAAATGTATAATATCCATCCTTTAAACAAGGAAGGCTAACAGTTCACCAATTTAAACTGAAGTCATTTTAAATCTAACCACAGRCAGTTTCACAGCATTGTGCACCTTAATGCCTGTGACCAAAACTAAACCAACAAAATTTGGATGACTCTCTCTCTCTCAAGAAGATAAAAGAGTGATTTGCATTTGAGCTCAGCTCACAAAAACATAAAACCTCATTGCAGATTTATAGATTGGAACCCTGGAGACTGTATGAGCAGTGAACCATCTTTAAAAATTCAAGAAAAAAGTTCTCATTTCTTTTTTTATTTCTTAGGATTTGCTGTGRCCTGAATGTCCATGAATCAACACAGATATGTTTCCAACATGTGTCTTTACCATTGTGTGTGGAGTTTTCTTGAATTCCATCCAGATATCTGTCTATATTTTCTGCTTTAGTCACAGCAATCATTGTTGTCTTTTACACATGGGTCTTTCATTTCAGAACTTTATGAACACAAGCCATTGGTTAAACATAATGGTTGTGTAAACTGGGTACAAAGTGTATTAGTTTATAAGGTCTTACCTGTCTCGCATCGATGTCCCGTAAATCCTGAGGGACATACACATGTATTTGGAGACACACAGGTCCCTCCACTCCGACATCCCTCCTCACAATAGGCTGGAAAAACAAAGTGAAGACATTAGTTCACTGCTCTGTGCCCAAGACAAGTTTACTAATCCATTTTCGCTTACAGTAGAAGTACAAAAAAGCTTTGAACCTTTACTGTTTAGGACTTACAGAAGGTATTTCTGATGCAAAGTGATTCCCTTGGCAATTTTTAAAACAAGTTTTCAAGCATGAGAGAAAGATTATTGTTTTTGGATTTTTTTCTCGTTGCTATTCAAATGAGCTTAATGTTTCTCTTCAGCTGCTGTTTCCATGTAATCCTGTAACATTGAGCCCCGACTCAAACTATTAATTTGTCCTCAGGTTTGTTTGACTTTTTCTTTCAAATCTGGGGCTTGTTTTCTTTCAAGTCATATTCATTAAAAAAAAGTGCTTGACGTAAAAAAAAAAAAACATTTTATTTAACATTTAAAATCTAAAAATGTGCATACGTGCATAATAAAATTTACTGAGGAGTTTGGAGAACCAATAATAATTTCAGATTAATTACCACACATTCCATTTGAACACTTTAGTATAGTTTAAAATAGACAAAGCAAAATGGGATTTTTTTTGACATACTGACAAATTTACTGACATATAGAAATCCTGTCAGGTGTTTAAAAAAGGCCAAATCTCTTGTGCAAGTTTGCATGCTGTGGCAACCTCTTCAAAGAGGAGCAGCCAAAAGAAATACAATATTATTGCAACTAAACATAGTCAGGTCAGCATGGCAGTGAAATAAAATAAAATATATTTCCAAAGACACAGCCTGTAGAATATAAAATGTGAGTGGATTTGGCCCCAAGACAAATTCCAAACGAACTCAAACTAACAGGAGATGTTGAACACAAGAACTGTTTGTAAAACAAGAAGTGTGAATATTACAGAAGAAGTACACAGGTCCTCATGGCGTTTCGTTTCAACAACAAGTCCTTTTCTATCACCACCCTGAAGCTAACACTGAAAGTCCAGTCTGTTCTGTTCTGTATTTTTGTTATAAGTTTTAATTTCCTGTAACACTGAGAATGTCCATCCAGCATTTAGCTTATGAGACGCTACAGAAATCTAGTTTCCCAGTTCTGATTCCTGCTCTCTRATCAACCAGTCAAACGATGAGAAAATGTTGACRCTGTCTGAGGCCAGCTAGCAGGCTCTGGTGTCTTCACCTCAGCACCTGATTGGTCAAAGCAACAGTATCGCTGTCATTTGTTTCACCCTCCCGGTGCCTTCGCTGCTCGTTTCTGAAGGCCTGAGGCGGATTTGTGGACCATAGCAACAGATGATGATCGAAATTTGATTGGATAAAAGCTCTAAATAAATACAAGCTGCTGGAAACTGCGCAGCAGGAGAAAAAGCTATGAAACGAAGAGAAAATATGTTTCAAAAATAATGATATCCTAATAATGATAATAATAAAATTATAATAAATGTAAAATATTCTAATATATAAACTAGTGATTATGATTGTGTTTAGGCCAGCAGAGAAGGCTTTGCTAGCCCTGACAGCATACAACTGCTTGAAGGTTGGTACTTTCAGAACAGCTTACATTTAATAATGTTTGGATGCAGAGACACGTAATAAATTGCCTTGTTTCTGGGATCACAATGATTTAGTTTGGATTGTTTCATTAATTTTCAAAATCATAAACAAAATTGAAGTTTTTTTCCCCTATAATGACAAACAATATTAATCGTAATAACATTCTCATTTCAAAAATGAACTTGGCAAGCCAAAATATTTCATTGGTACAACATGTACATTTCCTTCATTTTCTGCAGCCCCCTTTTATTTCCAGCTAGCAGAAATTCTTACTGCCTGAGAGAGCATGTGTGCACAGCTGTCTCACTGCCTTTGCTGGAAATGGCAGTCATTTTGTGTATGTGTGAATCTACGTCTGAGACAACTGCAGCAAGGCAAAGAGGCAGGTTGAGGGGTGCTAAGCAGTTGAAAAAGGCAAACAAGAACAGTAAAAAGTACAGTAAGTGCTCAAAGTGAGAAGGATTAAACCAAAAATATAGGGCATGCCTAATTGAGCAAGTTCATTAAAGAGAAATTATTTAGCATTTCTAAGCTTAATTAATGACATGATTTAAGAGATGAGCCCTAATGGGCTGAAAAATCTTTTAATAGTCACAGACCAAGTGTCTAAGTGTAATATCTGTGTGTAATGTGTGCAGTAACTTGTTAGTTTATGATACCAAAGGAAGACGATTTGTCTGCATAAATTAACACCGCTGATGTTTAGAGGACAAAAACCCCGCACTAAATATACAACTAAATGTGGGCAATAAATAAAAGCAAAGCCCTTTGCCTGAAGCTATTAAAGTGGTTCCACAATGCAAAAACTTCTATCAGGCTCTCATTAGGAGCCCAATTGCGTCTGTACTAATAAACCTCACTCTTATTAATTAATTACACTTATATTGACACAATCTATCTCCAGCTCTAATTATCATTTCAACATCATCAGCGAAATGTTCCCTGCCTATTGAACTAATGACTTCAAAAGATGAAGGGGCACCACTGGGGCATCAATGGGGGTGGGAGTGCAGAGAAGCTGAGAGGGAGAGTTTTCACTCCTAACTGCATCAGTTGCCTTCGGTATTTTATTCTGGTTAGGAAATGTTACGTAAATGAACACAATTGGAAAGATATGATTCTTCGTGCAAACTTAGACTTGTTATAATGCAATAATCCGGTAATAATATTTCTACAAGCAATTGTAAAACAAATTAATATGCAGCTCAGTGGAAATGGGTCAGATATTGGATTGCATTAAAAGTGGAACACGTAATGAAACTAGTCGTTAAAAGATGTTCTATTAAAATTTGTAGTTGTGATATTTACAGTATCTAGTATATTGAACATAGAATGGTCTGCWGTAGCAAAGAAGTCTAGTAATCCTAAGGTTGCAGATATTACCGGGAAGGGGGAGTCAGTGGCTTGTTGAGTATTTAATAATAGTGAGCTTTTACATGCATATAGAGCCAGAGACAGGTGTGGGAAAATGTTCCACTGCTCTGATGCTGCCTGTCACTCAAACAGAGCAGCAGGAGAGGAGTCATAGAACAGGTCTTGCCCCTTGTTATGTTGAACAGATCAAAATAGTCAAATACATCTTTTTAGGATTTTAGGTTTCAAACCAACGTGACCACAGCTGTATCTGCGCTGCTGGATCCTAAAAGTTTGGGTTTACCCAGAGTTATTTCCTCGTCTGCAGTGAGGAGTGCTTGTCTCGAAAAAAAAAATCAACTTAAGCTTAAATCTAAAAACAGTCCAGCTAGAGAGCCCGAGGCTGGGTGGTCTCGAAGCTGTCAGCACWACAATTTCAAGAACCGGAGAGTAACGTTTCTGCCACTACCTCACTTAGAGTTTTTTTCTTTTTTTTACCTTGCTCTGAGGTTCAAAGGCACAAAATGTGGGGGCGTCTCTTCTCTCCCCCTCCTCTGTTTGTCTTCTGAATGAGAGGTAGCCAGAACTTGTGTCAGTAAAATTATGGTGCATTATCTGAAAAGCCTACAATGTTCATGTCCCAGCTTTCATAGAAGCCTTGTGGAAATTACTGGGAAATTTGGCGCATTACCTCAAGTGACTAATACATCATATTTTTTGTATATGATCACCATATTTCAAAAACGCAGCAAAGCAAAATACCATCATATCACCCAAGTCTATGAGGGAGAACAAAAAAATGAATCAGGATCTAATTTGAAGAAACTGAACTCAGTAAAAATCACAAGTAACAACTAAACTCTAGGAGCACATGCTACAGAAAACAAAACCTTAAGACCAAAAGGAAGCAAAACCTTATCTAAAACACATGAACCATCTACAGTAATAAAGTAATGTTGCATCCAGTCAACATTTCCTGACATTTTCAATAAAGTTTGTAAAGTGGTTCATAATTTTAATGACATAATATACACACAAACACACACAGACACAATTAGGCAAGTCCATCATCAGCCACCTTTGCTTTTGATGGCGGCCAATACAAATGCTCCAAAAAAAAAAAAAAAAAAACTATTACATTTTTTTTAAAGCTCAGCCCTGATTAATTGTCGTCGTTTTTGTTAAATTGCCAATCATGGCTCATCTGACAATAAATGGTGCTTGAACTGAAAGGAAAAAGAAATATTTGCAGATATTTTGTGATGTTGAACAACTGTGTTTTTCCAGGCCACGAGTGTTTGAAGGATCCTCCCCACCCCGCATCATGCTAAGTGCTAAATTATTGATGTGGTTCAGGAAACACAGCGAGAAAGATGAAAATAAGGCAGAACTTTGCATTCAAAACAACAAACGACTGGAAGTGTTGTGGCAGCAATTCTTTCCCGTGCTTGTAAAAAAAAAGTGGTGGGTGAATCCAATTCAGTCACTAAAACATGAAGTGTATCATTGATGCAACTGATTTTGAGTTTCCACAAACCCTGTTATGTTGTGCAGAGATGTCACAAAAACATGTTTCCACATTTTTCTCTGTTCGCTTGCTCTTATTTGTTTTGTTCCATTTCCCCCCGCTGCTCCATTTTTGCTCCCTTCACAAGACATTACCAGGACCCCCGCTAAAGGAACAGATATTGTGAGCCAGAGCTGCAAGGGGAGAGGATGGCCTCCTTCACACAAGTCCCCYTGACCTCCAGGTAAACTATCTCATTGCTTAAATGAGCTAGTTGCTGACTCGTGGCTTCCAGAGACATGCTTATACCCCAAGATTTGCTATTTGAGTTTCCCATTACAGGCTGTAGATTGCTTTCCAGTGGGTGGTGAGAAGGAAATCATTCCGGCTCTGCTGTTGCAAGCAGCCACATTCATGGCCATTGGGTGTCTAAGTACCCATTTCTGAATTAGGTGCAGGAATAACCAACAAGATATGTGAATATTCCACAGTTTAAGTAGCTGTATTTAAAAAAAAAATCTTTGTAACTAGCAGAACAAAACCGATGTGATAATTGGCATTCACRGTAGCAAAGCACAGCTCAGTGATGTGTTGCACAGAGACATTTGT